AGTCAGCCATGATAAAGTCAGTCGTCTCTGTAGATTGCACATAATTTTGGGAGGACGCACATTACCTTCTTCCAAAGACATCAGCCGATTTTCAAAGGATCATTGGGCTGTTCTTTCTTGGCAGGACGACGTGATACACCATCTGGATAATTTGCCACCCTGAGGGCAGGAGGCCAGCCCCGCCATAGAGCCGACGCCAGGACCGTCAGGAAGGCCGCCGAGACGCCAGCCCTTCAGCCCTTCACGGAGAACCCAAGGGACCGAGTCGATGACGACAGCGATGGCGATGATTTTGTGGATCGTCCGTCACGTCAGATCGTTTGGCCTGTCGCCGCCCGCGGTGGTCCGCAGCGTCCCCCCCCCCCCCACCCAACCCTCCACCACCTGTGGCTAACCCAACGGCCGGTGCGCACAACACCATGTCTGATCTGCTAGGCAAGATGCAGAAGTCCATTTTTTAAGATCTGGACGATCACCCTAAGCATGATCCGACATCGGACAAGGCGCAGTCGGCATTCATGACTGACTGGTGCGCCGCCATGTCCTCCGTCGCCCCCCCCCCCCCTGTCAGAGCTCTATGCGCAGCGTCAACTAGGCTAGCGGAAAAGCGTGGCCGCCACATCCCTGTCCCCCGGCCGGAGAGGCGGAAAGCCTGTCCACTTCGTGGACGGTAGCGTGTGCTCGCTGGTCGCAGAACATGTCATGTCAAGTTGAGGTCATGGAGGGGCAAGTTGGAAAGTTAAACAGATAACGCACCATAGAAATGTTCTCATGCAGGCTGTTTTCTCTCATTTCAGTATTATGATTATTGCATGTTCATCAGATGCCTTGTCCTGGAAATATCCCGGCCTTTCAGTAAATACCTGTAGCTACAAGGTTAGGCTTAGTGGGGCTTTACCATCTGAGGCCTTTCTAGCCGCTCCAAATACAGAGTTTGAGGTGATGGCACGCATTTAAGCCTAAATATGCTTGGGTAAGTGTGCAAGATATCTGGTGTGTGCATGTATTGAAGAAAAGAGGTGGTGCACACAGGAGCCTACAATGTTTATCTTGGGGCACCCAGCCTCTCCCAGCATGCCTGTACCGGGTGCCGGCCGGCTCAGGCTGCTGTTGTGCGTAGGGCTGGGAAGGAGTCCGATTTAACCTTGAGTAGTCTTCGTCTTCGTTGTGGCTATGGAAGCGGGGGTGGCTTGATACGATGATGTGTGACGATGGTATGTTATGGTGTATTTGATGGTTTTACGATGACGATGTGTTTGCCTGCGGACGGGAAACTGTACGCTGTGCTTGGTGCAGTCTCCTTTTTGGCTGCATGAATCACTTGGACAGCTTGTGAATACTGTTTTACCGTGTTTGTGAGAGAAGTCCTTTGGACGGAATGTGTTATGTCTGGTTTAGGCGGAATGCGCCTAAACTGTCGTCGTTTCCTGTCTGCTAAGGTGTGTTCTGTCTATTTGAATACACTTGCATGGCATGTTGAAGCTGATGATCCCGTTCACATAACCATACACGATTTGTAGGTCTTCGAGTGTTTAGCCGGGATTATTGTACGAGGACCACCTGTACCATTGCCAGAAGAAGTCGATGACGTCCAGTACAGTGCACCATCTCATTTAAAGGCTATGCCATTAAAAGAGTACAGCCGACGGTGTTCCAAGAAATGATGGGAGGTGTCAGTTGACGTAGCGCGAGACCTGTCTGCTCCAATTCTGATCCCCTGCATTGGCTATTCTCGTGGGATCATCCGGGATTCCGGTTTTACGTCGTTCTTTTTACAAGTTACGACGTGAAATAAACTAGCAATCTCGGCACCTGTATAATTAACATGGTTTAGGTCCCGTTGCCTTCAGAACGGATATCCAGGAGCGTGTGCAATTACTAATAATGTTTAGTGGTCGTAGATTCCCGTCAGAGCTCTAGTTTTGCCGAAGTTGTTGAGGAAAGCATTGAGCACAGGATTGACCGACCTGGGGTACGATAAACATGAGGTTTGAATGTACAAAGTGAATGCAGTTGAGTCTAGATCTGGGTCTTAATGTTCATTCGCTCAATGGTTACATTGCATACCCATTCTCTCCTTATGTGGGTGCCTTAGGTACGGTTATAAGAGTACGTTTAGGTTCCTATGCTTTTATGTTTTCCTTTGGTATCTGAGGACTGAGTGGCAAAGCGAGTCAGAAATTGGATATGAGATCGAAGATACTGCATCGTCCAAAATCCTTCAAGGAGGCCTGCATTCCGCGGGATTTTCATCAGCACGACGTGCTATTTTGTAGGGATCCACGTCTTTACGGCAGAGTAAGGTGGAAGTGGGAGAAAGAGAAGGGGACCGGGCGTAAGATCGTTGGCTCAGCTGCGATTTGTCCACGGCCCGAAAAGTCAAGGCCCCCAACGAAATGCGATCTTAAGGCCCTGGACCACGTGGCGATCTAATGACCATTGGATGGCTCTGTTGACGTATAAACTGCTTACAAAAAAGAATGCATAGAAATAAAAGAAGCAAACGCAAAATATGTGGGGAAGTTTCGCTGCATTTTCATCGCTTTCATTCAATATATGCTCGACAATATAGGTTTTAGTGGCCTCAGCTTTCCTGCTCCAAAACCTTGTTTCTCGGTGTTCTTGAAAGCTAGTTGTTGAGCTCCATTCAATATAAATGTATATACGAAATTATATTATATAACGCCATGCCGGGGTTACACTATGGGCCCGCTGCTTCTCCTTATCAAGGCTACTGGAGAAGGCTACGCAGACGTGACGTCACCTGTGACGTCACTATGAAAATGCGTCATTAAATGTGCTAGGCCGAAAAAAATCCAGTTTGTCGAAATTTTCATATCCAAAACAGCCCGTAAAGAACAGCGTTTTCACGCCACCGTACCGTTGGTGCCATATGATTTAGTCACATGCTGACGCTCAACGTCGCCTACCCAGAATGCAGTAATGCGAGAGGCTTGCTTTTAATCTCTTCTAATCCCCGCTCGTTGTTTCCAGTAGCTCCTCCATTCCGCGTTGAGATCCCGCGTTCTAGCATTGGCGCGGCGTGTGACTAGCGCTGGCGGTTTGCCATGGTGCAGCACCGCCGAAGATCGGTCGCCAGCCGGACTCGCGCCGGAACGCCGGGAGAGAGGGGAGAGGGCGGGGGGGGGGGGGAGGGGCGATACGCGGCTGAGTGTCACCCGTCTGCGTACCCCTATCGTCGCCGCCGACAGAGGATCGGCGGAGCTGGACCGTGCGAGCTGCCGACGGTCATCACGTCATCCCGACATTGATCCAGCCGCGCTTGCTCGCTTAGGCGCGGACATCCGGGGCTATTTCATAGGCTACGGGCCTCGGAGGCATTTTAATTGCAGTTTGAAGTCCGTTATCAATCCATGCGGAAGCTCAAATGTGCACCTTCACGATGAAAGGTAGTGCCGTAGCAGGCAGGCACCGCGTTGATCGAACGACAGTGAAATATGGGTGCGTAGCACTGCACGTATAGCTGTACACAAAGGATACTTTCGCTAGTGACATTGAATGCCTCAATTGATTCGTCGATGCGTTTAAGCAACTGCCGTGCTGTCCGAAATTCATGCACTGATATTCAGGAGTGCTCCCACTCCAGCTCACCGCCATGTAAAACGTGACCTTGGCGCCGGTTTCACCCGCCAGAAAATATATGTGCATTCCTTGATGAGAAAGAAAGAGATAATGTCCAACTCCTACTTCCTGTCTTTCAAATTATTGCCCTTTTCATTGCCATATATGTAATACCTAAATTGTCCTACCTTGTATTCCGGCTAAACAGACAGCGAAGGTCATAATGCAGTGAGCACATCGGGGTTAAATAAAATTTGTATCGTCTTGTTCATCAGGTAAAACGTTAGTACCAGCCGCGTTAAAGCTGGCAAGGTAAGCTGTCAGAAACAGGAACGAGGGCAACATACTTGACACTTGATACGAACAGTTTTCAGCTGTCTTAAGAAAATCACGATCGATATCATACATTGCATAACAAAATTTGCTTTGTAAGAAGATCCATCACGCTCTGCTGCTACACGTCACGACTTGCATTCATAACTGCAATGTTCTTTTGAAATGCATTCTCAGACGCACTTCTGATCATATCCTTGCGAGTCGGATACCTTACAAACTAGTTCATCAAACATTCTGAGACCAGGGCCAGACAATACAAAAAGATGCCTGTAACTCTTGTGGTAGGTGAAAGCGGTCCAAGTAATTGGCGCTTATATCTGATTCCGTTTTTTTTAACTGGAGCAGGAGCACCATCTTTTTAAACTGAGTGTTCGGGGCATACACACCTAAAAAAGAAACGGAAAATGATGGCTAGTTCTTTCACAATGTCAAATCAATCAATTTGAATCAGGTTCATTTTGCAAACTTCGTGCATCTTGGTCAGAAGTACAATTTGTATGAGTGTTTTGTACGACGTTAATAACGTTGTACTTCTCTACCGCTTCGTGCATGACTGTTGACGACAAAAGCACGGCAGCTTGTGTAAGAAAGGCTCGGCGCATTCGGTGAATTCAGCTGGTGACATAGAACATGGTTGCTGCGGCGGGGACGATAATGTTTTTGCCTATGGTGTATCATTTATTGGTGGCTTTTTCAGTTTAGGCTTTCACCAATTATTACTAGACAACCAACAGGCTTTTATTCGGCGGATGCACGTCTATATTTGGGGGTTCCTCAGATATGCGAGCCCTAAACAGTATTGCAGTACTGTTCGCTGTGGACTAACATTTGCCATTGTAAGAGAGCAAACACACATAATGTATGCATACAACACATCAGATATTAATAAATGCCTCTTGTCGAACATCTTTCCATTTACCGCTATATCAAAGAACACCCACTAATATACCGTCGACAGAAAGTGAGGAAAGCGTCCAGTTATTCGTCCTTTGGCCAGCACAGAGCGAGCAATTTCGTTACGTATATATATATATATATATATATATATATATATATATATATATATATATATACATACTCGTTAATTTCGTGATTCACAATTTAGTTATTATATATGATTTCATATTTAATGCGGTCTCCCTTAAGCGGGACGCCGCGGTAATGAGACGATTTCGATGTTCGCGGCCAAACAGATCTGAAGTGAAAACACCCGACAATCACTCTGGGAGTGCTGCCAGCCGTGGCTAGCACACGCTCCGGCGACAGGAGGCAATCTAAGCCCTGAATAGACGTCACTGACTTGCAATTTCTGCTTCAGTGTCAATATACCTGCCATCCGGCCAGTTGACCGAGGATCGTCTGATCAAGCGGGAGGGCACGCAGTCCAGACACCACTATAGTTACTGCCGCGGGCAATGCACCACGTCGTTTTAAGGTGAGGTGCTAAAAAGTGGGGGTAGATAAAATCGGCGTCCATACAATCGAAATTCGTCGTGATTAAGCTGAATCAATAATATCACGATTAGTTCGGAACATAACAGACAGGATTTCGGGCAACTACAAGTGACCTTCAGATCATGATGTCTGTCGCGGTATTGCAGACAGTAAAAAACGTCGAACAAAGAGTACACGAGAAGTATGGGCGTCTACCCCCTGTCCAAAACAGTATTAAACAGGATATGCACCGTGCATTCTGATACTGAAGCCGACCGAATGTTAATGTCGATGTAAGATATCCTGATGTTCTCTCACAATAAGCTAAGTGCAATGAGGTGCATGCCAGCAAACGCTTCATACTCATAAAACACCTGCATATGGCCATGTTGAAGCTGCTCTCAAACTGAAAGAACTTGCCTAGAGCAGCGCGATGCTTAACTAATTATAGAAATGGCGTCTGAATGTCGTACACCGCAAGTCAAGGCGCAGACAGCATCTGCCTGAGTACGCCCGGCACGTCTACCTCCGGAACAAAGGATCTGCGAGCGATGACAGAGCGCGGCGTCGAGCGCGTTCGCTGGCAGAACCGGCTGCGAGCTGCGCGTCACTGATGCGGCGTAGCTCGCGTTGGGCGACCCCCAGCAGGTCACGGCGTCCGGCTCGGCTCCAGGTCAAGTCTAGGCCAGACAGGAGAGCACCAGCAGCACGAAGATTACCAACTGGGCTAGGAAAAAGCTGCGATCTAGCCCGGTGGCAACCAGCAGCCATTCGGCACGACGCACCGCCTTCTGGGCCTCCTTGTCCTGCACCGGCACGCCGTCCTCGGCGAACGGCGCCTTCGTGCTCTGCATCTGCCGATAACAAGCGGGATCTCGTCAACTGGCGCGTGCGGCAGAACAGACCGGTGATGCGCATCGTGTTGCGACAAGGAAGGCGTCGACATGTCCTGCAACATCCTTAAGGTAAGATACCGGGATATCCCGATGATCCTGACATATAGCTTGAGACAAATGATTGGCAGAACGCCAGGAGTTCAGGTATTGTCAATTGCCATCGTTATACGAGGTCAAAGCCATTATCTCGTTCACACTGCGCCACACCCTGAACCTACAAAAAACCTAACGGTGATGTGATTTTGGCCAGCCGATGGCAGCGCTCCGGTTCAGGCCACCCCCCAGTCGCGTTCGGGCGTCACGCTGACGCTGTCTGTATGCATACGGCGTCACGTCCCGCCAAACACAGGTTGGGCTTTGTGATTGCAGACAGCGGGTGAAAACATCGTTTCACTGTTATCTCTCTCCTGAATGTCGTTCTTTAAAAGAGTCAAAACAGACCGAAGGAGCTCGAATAAAATCAAATTCAGCTCGCTTCCATGCCCGGGGTGTGGCTATATTCCACATCACCTTGATCGCCTTGGCTTATTTCCTGCAGACTGTTATGGATAACAAGCAGTACAACAGGACATGAGGACAGTGAAACGCTGACACCGACTGATATAAAAAGGCAACCCCAGCTGACGGAAAGGACGTCATGTTAAATGATCGGGCTGAAAATGTGCGTATGCGTGTGCAGATGCATGTGCATGTGCGCGCGCACACACACACACACACACACACACACACACACACACACACACACACGTGTGCGTGTGCGTGTGCGTGTGCGTGTGTGTGTGTGTGTGTGTGTGTGTGTGTGTGTGTGTGTGTGTGTGTGTGTGTGTGTGTGTGTGTGTGTGTGTGTGTGTGTTTGTGTGTGTGTGTGTGTGTGTGTGTGTGTGTGTGTGTGTGTGCGTGTGAAGCCGACGTCATTCTGCACTCCAGGGCCTAACAGAATAACTTGGTTCTACCGAAAAAATAGACAAACTACACAGGGATATGGAAACCACGTGCAATTATCGGCATGACAGCAAGGTCGATAAAATACAAATATTTTGTTTTTGTCACCTGGAATTCGACGGGATTGACCCCCGCCAACCCCCTAACCCCGTAGCTTACTATTAGAATAACGTCCTAACATTGAGTCCTGTGTCCACCGTTAAGATAATTTGTCGGCCAATGGCGTCAGATATCGGCCGCAAAGGTCATCTGTCGGTCCTGAGAAGTGCAGGCCGGCCGGAAGATAGGGGTCAGGTCAGCGGCTCGGTTGGCGCAGCGCCGCGCGGCCCGACAATGGAGCGGACGTAGCGGCCCACTTGTGGAGCGCCAGCAATCTGGAGCGGCGGCCGGTCAATCGATGGCCTCGCGCCGCACGCGTCCGGTAACGCTCCCCGTCCGAGGTGTGCGAAGGAGGGAGGAGACACGGTGAGGAGAGAGAGAGAGAGAGAGAGAGAGAGAGAGAGAGAGAGAGAGAGAGAGAGAGAGAGAGAGAGAGAGAGAGAGAGACAGAGACAGAGAGAGAGACAGAGACAGAGACGAGCAGAGGACAGAGACAGAGACAGAGACAGAGACGAGAGAGACAGAGACAGAGACAAGAGACAGAGACAGGACAGAGACAGAGACAGAGACAGAGACAGAGACAGAGACAGAGACAGAGACAGAGACAGAGACAGAGACAGAGACAGAGACAGAGACAGAGACAGAGACAGAGCGGGGGAAGGAGGAGTGGGAAGGTGGAAGGTGAAAAAGAAGTGGGCTAGAGGGAGGTGAAGGAAAGTGGGGCGAAGAGAGATGAGAGGAAATAGGGAGGAGGAGAATAAGTGAACAGAGCTGAGAGAAGGGGAGAGGCGTGAGAATGTCTGCAATAAGTGCCCACGCATATTTCTCACGTTTCCTAGGTCGCTCAGTCTGCGGTACGGTAACGCCACCGTTATTCGGCGCTGGCATAGTGCATTAGCTGCGTGCCCACGCCCGAGGATCTAGCTGTCCTTTACGTTTTTGCCTGACAGCGTCATCTATTCAAAGTATTCACGCCATGCTTTCAACGTTGCGGTCCACATTTTCGGCACGTAATGAAAGCTACCTAGTTATAGGCCTTCCACGGCATGGGACAAGCGGGATGATAACAGAGGTGACTATGACCATCACGCGAGTAACGCCAAAACAGAGGCGAACGGCATGGATGGCATTCGCATAGTGCCAGTCGCCTTGGGCAACCCTTATGAATTAGTTTAAGCCATGTGCTGGGATGAGTTTAATCCACGTGCCTCTTCGTGGATTCAGTACAAAATATGAGAACTTGACTGGTGCACGGTGCGCACATGCCAATTCGCCTACGGCACACCGCTTCCGGAAAATCGACTGGCCCCGGGTGTGGCAACGCATGGCCGCTTTGTCGAAGAAGTTGACGGCTTGATGTAAGTTACTTTGTCTGGTGGCTGCGACATAGTATTACGAGGGACACCTTTTTGACGGATGCTGGCAACAGTGAATCGGTCCAGGCATCCGTGTCGTTTTGATGGTGGCGTGGTTGTCCAATCCCTCGCGGTTTAGGCCCTGGCGTGTGATGTTCCAGACCATGCTATCCAATGGCCGCAATGGTCACTTCTTGCCGGACGTCGCCATGGTTTGCACAGTGCTGAATCCGCATAGTGTTTTGCAGACGGTACATTCTCTGCACCCCGTGGTTGGCTTCTTGTTTTTATCGTCCCTGGAGGACGACATCCGGCATCACTGGTTAAAAACGCCTCAAAACCAGCGGATCCATGGCTTGAGCCCAAGCGCGCGTGAATAACTGCACACATTTATCGATACATAGTTCTGCTAACGGGTTTGGCCGTCTCTTATTCGGCCCGCAGTGATCGTTGTGTAGCGTCGCAATTTCGGGCGGCCGAAATCAAGAACCACTTTTGACCCGTACCCGCCGCTTTGCAATTTGCAAATTTTACATTACCATGATGCAAATGGAATGGGTAGATTGAAAATTCCATGAGCTTATAGTGCTGTAGGAAAACTCGACTTGAACAAACAGGTACTCAGATGCTTTGGAATCATTGCAAGATAAGTTACACATAATATTGGTACTTGGTGCGCGTACGCCGAAATGGCAAATGCGTGGTATCACCTCAGTTGACCGACCTGAAGCGACGTTCTCACAAGATTCGCATTGCTAAAGACTCTAACAAGATGACTGTGTCTAACATTATCGTTCATGCCACTTGCAGAAGCTGTAAACCGTCCTGCGTAACCAATATGAAGGGCAGCGGTCTTCCTTCATGAAGCGTGATCAGAGCATCAAGATGAGCAGCTCTACGCGTACATACATGCATGCATGCATACACACATATATATATATATATATATATATATATATATATATATATATATATATATATATCAGTGTGCATGCATGCATGCATGTATTACGCGTAGACTGCTTCATCTTGATGCATATATATATTATATATATATATATATATATATATATATATATATAGTATAACATATACTCTCTCTCTCTCTTCTCTCTCTCTCTCTCTCATCTCTCTTCTCTCCTCTCTCCTCTCTCTCTCTCTCTCTCACTCTCTCTCTGCTCCTCTCTCTCTCTCCCTCTCCTCTCCTCTCTCTTCTCTCTCTGCTCTCTCTCTCTCTCTCTCATTGGTACATTTAAGGTACAACGTGGTACATTTAAGCTCGTTCGGTTTTCCCTCTGCACTAATCTTTGTTGAGGAAATTGTCCAATCAACCGTCAGAAAAGGGTAGAACCGGCGAGAATTAACTACCGCCTGAGATAGCGCGTGCCACGGAAACACATCCTCAAGTTTCAGGAATTCCAATTACGTGCAACGTATCTACATTCACAATAAGTAAGTTTCAAAGGTATTCTGACCAGATGCGGAACACGTCCTCCAAAATGACGCCAAGTGAATCGCTGCTTATACAAACTAAGTGGTACAAGACGCCCATTTAAAATGCCTTGTGATCAAGTAAACAGGCCTATAACGTCAATTGTGATTCATCATGTGTTTCGGTCCTACGGTAAATAAAAACGACAATATTGGGAAGACTGAACAATGACACCATTTTTAAGCACAATACTAGAATGGCAGATGCTGTCAGATCACTTTTCGTTTTAACCCACACCAGAGACAAAGCATGTGCCGTTGGGTCTGTGTATAGATCAAGCGCAACACACGGTTGCGGTCATCACAATGCACACGGCTGTAGACTAGTTCTTGCTATGCGTATATGTTGACTGCAATGCATTGAGTTGTTTGTATTTTGCGGTTACTAGCACGCTGAGAGACGTTATGCCTGCGAAAGGTTTCACACCTTATTAGGTATCACAGGGTTATAGTAGCAATGACTACGGACGCTATGCGTAGCGTTTGTCTAACCTTTCGTGCGCCGAGATCGCCTCTGAATTCGGCCACGTAACGCACGCCATGTGGACTAGACTATACTAAATCTGACATTTGGCAGTCTGCACCTGTCAAAAGCCAGCCAAGTGCATTCACACCTACGCAATCATCACATTTCCACTAGCCAGTACTAGCCATGGTGTTGGGGAATGCATGTCAACAGTTCAACATCGAATCGCAGTTCTTGCAGTAGCGAGAGCATATGTAACAAACATATGATAAACTTACCGTGTTACCTGATATTAACAGCTATTATCAATTATTTCGCATTTCTCACAAACAAGCCCAGCAAAAGTCCTCTTCACACGACCCTTGTCTAGCAGTAAGCAAGGAACTGAACTGGACTGAACTGCCCCGAACTGAACTGAGCCCTGAACAACGGAGCTAGAGATCGGCTAGCTTAAAAGCCGACTGTCGTTTCCACCGGAGTACATTAAACTCATCTTGTCAGGTTCCTCCATGATGGGTCGGGAGTCAAAAGAAGTTTCCGCATTGCGTGGAGATTTGAGTGTTGTGGTCCACTTTAACCGCAATCAAAAAGTACTCAATTTGTGA